CTGCTACTCCAGCCTGAGTGTGTCTGTGCTCTTGGAGCTCAGAGCTGTGCCTGTGCCTTGCTGGTGTGTGCAGGGCGCATGCATCCGCAGCAGCGCTGGCAGCTCCGGCTGGACTGGGCTGTTGTGATGCCCCTCTGCACCCCGAGCACCCGTCGTTTTCCCTTCGCTATGCAGATGGGCCTCTTGCAGGTTCTGTTTTGTACCAGCTCAACACAGGCTGTTAATGGGTGCGTGCAGGAGTTTCACAAGCCTGTACAGACCATGCCTTTGGCTGTCTGCTGTAAAAGTGAGAGGTCTTAGCCAGATGTGAAATGACAACCGCTGGAAACGTGTCCTTAGGTTAGGTGATCAGCAGGCTGAGGGCAGAAGCTGGAGGTGCATATGAGCACCTCTTCAGATCCCCAGAATCTTGAAAAGGGGATTTTCTCCTTGAAGTAGACGGTCCTTCTTGGTGAACATCTCTGGTGCTTTAGGGAAAAGAAATTGCAGAGCGTGCCTTCCTAACTCTTAATTGCCTGCTCCTCCCTCTTTCCTGCAAACTGCAGGACCTGCGCCAGTTTCTCATTACTGCGCAAAGGAACGCCAGCAGGCTCACAGGCAGACTGGGAACTTGTGGGGGAACATTGTTTTGTGTGTTGGGCATTTTGGGAGTTCTTTCCTAAAACATGACTTGCATGAAAACTTGAAGCTTTCCTTCTTGGGTCTTTCACGGCCACGGTTGTGAGGGGACACCAAAGCAATGCCTGTTTGCAGGACTGTCCCTGGCATCTTGGTTTGTGGGCTCACCAGCAGTGCTTCTTCTCAGGAGGTTGCTCATATTCAGCAGGCGGAGAGTGACGCGTGGTGGATGTTAGATGGCAAGGCCCAGTATTGACAGTGTGTTTAGACTGGGGCTGTAGCGTGCCAGAAATGAGAGGTAGTTTTGGAGGGAGTGATGGGAAATTGGGAGTGAGCCATAGTTCACGGGGGGGAAATAGTGTTGGAGTTGAAGCAAGGTAGAGTGAACGGGTCATGCTTCCCTGTTGGAGCACTCGGGTTTTGTCCTTTCTCTCTCAAAAGCACATTGCCAACTACATCTGTGGGATCCAAACCATTGGGCACAGAGTGATTGTTTCAGACGTTCAGGAGAGTTTCATCTGGGTGCGCTACAAAAGGAATGAGAACCAGCTCATCATCTTTGCTGACGACACTTACCCGCGATGGGTCACTACAGCAACTCTCCTGGATTATGACACCGTGGCTGGAGCGGACAAGTTTGGCAACATCTGCGTGGTGAGTGTGCCTTGGAGAAGCTGGGTTTTTTTGAACACAAGGTATTTTTCCTTAAAACATCCGTGATTTGTCTTAAAAGAATAAGAATCTGTGCTTAGCTGGAGACAATGCCCTGTTCCATTCACTTGTTTTTACCGGGTGACTGGCTGTCGTCATAGCAGACGGCTGCAGTTTATCAGTTTGTAAATTAAAGCAAACAAGTTGCATCAGCAGGTCAAAAAACGTATTTCTGAAGCCTTCAATAACTTGTGTTAAAATTTCCATGAATAGGCCTTGAAACGAAGCTTGTGGCTGTGAAAGAGCCCATGAGAACTCGCCGTCAGGGTTATCACTCTTACTTGCCCTGGCTAAACCTCGTTGCTGGCATTTAGCTTTCTCTGTCACTTCCTTGTGAAAGCTGGCTTTGTCAGGGCTGACACTTCCCCACTTGGCTGGGTTTCAGCAGGGGAGGAGGAAAGAATAGATGGTCTTTCTGCCAGTGCTTTGATCTCTTTCTGGAGTGTGCTCGGGTGCTTTGGAGTGCAGAGTTCAGCCAGTGTCAGACGCTGTGCCTGTAGGACTTGGCCAACGCAAGCGAATCGATCCTCTTAGGTTTTCCTGCCCCACATCCATCAGACTCTTTCCTTAGCGGGAACCACCTTCACACCAGTTTGACCATACCTCGCAGGGTGACCTGCAGGTGCCAGGCCGGGCAGAGGTCCTGCCTGTGTTTGCATGATGCGCAAGTCATTCTCATAGAGTCCACAGAAGAGGCCTTTCCAAGGCCGCAGCTGGTTGACTCTTTCATCCTCTTTCAATGCAGGTGCGATTGCCTCCCAACACCAATGATGAGGTAGATGAGGATCCCACAGGCAACAAAGCTCTCTGGGACCGGGGGCTTCTTAATGGAGCATCGCAGAAGGTAACGCTTGCTGGGAGGCACGTGGTGGTTGTGGGAAAAGAATGCACGGCTTCGCTGTGAAGTCCTCTGCGGTGTTGTCCAGGAGGTGTGCTGGCAGTTCTGCTCCCACACATCTACCGTGCTGTGGGTGATCGGTTTTCACTGTCACTGGGAGCCAAATTCAGTTTCTGAAATCACCACCGGTGCCTGCTCGGTGATGTTCGATTGAAGCAGCACGCTCATTTTCTTTCCCTGCGTTCCCTCATTGCTCACATCCGTTTGTCCAGCTCAGGAGGGTGATTCAGCGGCGTGCTGAGTTTTGCCATCTGGTCGCAGGTGGAAGGCACTTCCTCTTTAGAAAGGCGTTTCAGAACTAGCAGGTGGCCACATATATTCTGCTCCCCTCTCTCAAGCGCTCTGATGCTTTTATATAAGCTAAAGAAAAAACACGCTTCTGCGGTTGACTTTCAGGCTGAAGTGATTATGAATTACCACGTGGGAGAGACGGTGCTTTCCTTACAGAAGACCACGCTGATCCCGGGAGGCTCCGAATCTCTTGTCTATACCACCTTGTCGGGGGGGATAGGAATCTTGGTCCCTTTTACGTCCCATGAGGTAAGCAGACCCCATCGCTAATGCTGCAGAGGTGCTGCTTTTCTGTGTGCTCATCCCTTGCCAGGGTATGAATGTGCTGCATCCCTTGAGGGTAGCTCTGGGGCACTGCGGTGCGTGAAAACCTGGGCTGCAGGAAAGCCTGTGCCTGTGAGACAGGCTCCGATGCAGAGGGGAAGAGAAGGAGCTCGCTAACTCCTCCTTCTGTGTTGGTTCTGGGAATTGCTGAGAGCTTGGCTGATTGCACTGCCGTTCCACGGCTGTTGGTGCTCCAGGGGAGCAGCTGTTGGTTGACTTGGTGTCTGCGAGGAGGCTTCCTTTGGCATGCTTTGTGTAGCCTCTCAACCCTATTGATGGGGCACTGTGCTCCAAGTCCTGAAGAGAGTGTTCTCCTCTGTTTGCTGTGGCCTCTGGAGCAGCAGGTGCCAGGCCACTCGCTCTTTGGGCTGCACCTCTGTGCTGCACATCTGCTGGGTGCTGCGGTGCCGGGGAGGCCGACCCTGGCCGAGGTGGCACGGCTGGCTGCCTAGCTCTGCTGTGGGTGCTCCCAGGGTGGAAGTGGTGAGGGGCTGGCCCTGACCCTGGCTGCGGTCTGCAAAACTGGGTCATGGCAGGGCTTCAGCTGGCGCAGGGGCATTGTCCTGCCTTGCCGGTGGCACTGTTGGGTCGCAAACCGTTCTCTTACCGGTTCTTAATCTCTCCAGGATCATGACTTCTTCCAGCACGTGGAAATGCACTTGAGGTCTGAGCACCCTCCTCTCTGTGGACGAGACCATCTCAGTTTCCGCTCCTACTACTTCCCAGTGAAGGTGGGTCTGAGTATTTACGATCAACAGCTCGCGGGGATGTGGCGACTTGCTCTGGGGCACAGAACTGCTGTGAGGCCTGGCAGAAGAAAGTCACGGTTGCTGTTAAGTGGGGAAGACTGGGGCAATGGAAACCATAGCTGGTGTCGTCACTGCGGCGGGAGCTGAAGCCCGCTCTGGAGTAGCACTCCGTAAGGAGAGCACTTAATAACCGTGCCTGTTTTGGTTTCTTAAATCCTGGTAATGAGCCTGCTGAGGGTTGGTCTTGAGACCAAAGCCCAGCGGTGCTGCTGCTGCGCTTCTCTGTTGGCCTCAGCATCTCCTCTGGCTGTTGGGAGAAGCGGCAGCGTTGCGGAGCTGCTGGTGTGGCCGGGTCGGACTGGGTGTTGCCTGGGGGAGATAGTTTTTCCACTGCCCTTGAAAAGGAAAATCTCCTAAGAAACGGCTGTTCCTGCCTATTTCTGCTTTTGAGGAACTGTATTTGAAGCCGTCGACTGCTAAATGCTGTGACCGGAAGGGTCCAGGCCACTGGACCAGAGTCACTACGTGGTAACTACTACCAGAGTAACGTATGTAGTATCGGTCGGAAAACTGTCCCGGCAGCTGAACTGTCCCAGCACAGAGGGTGTTGCTGCTCTTGGTGAGCTCGGGGCTGACCTGCAGCACGCACGATCTCAAAGCTTCCTTGCGTCTGACTGAAGATGCCTGTCGGTGTGCTGGGACCCGTGTCGGATCCGTCTGCCCTCCCCTGGTGCGATTCCTCAGCCGTGCCCAGGCTCTCTGGGTTTCTCCTTGGTTAATCAAGCTGGCCAGTAATTAATTTGATGCTAATTGCCGCTATTCAGCGGATGAGGTCACCGAACGTGGTCTTGTTTCCAGCGCAGGATTAAGATGCTGCTGGGAACAAACTGTTTGTTGCCGTTTTTCCCGGTTTAGGCAGGGTTCAGTGCCTCTGTGCTGTGTCGGTTCAGTGCTCTCCTCCTTGCCCCTCCAGAATGTGATCGACGGGGACCTGTGTGAGCAGTTCAACTCCATGGAGCCGAACAAACAGAAGAACGTGGCTGAGGAGCTGGACCGGACCCCGCCCGAGGTGTCCAAGAAGCTGGAAGACATCCGCACGCGCTACGCCTTCTGAGTGGCAGCTGGCTGGAGCGGAGCCGCTCTTTTAGCTGGGAGGAGGAAGGTTTGCTTTCTTTCCCTTTTTCGATATTGGTTTGCTCCTCTCGGTTTGATGTTTCAGGGTAATGTGACTCCAGTAAATACAGTGTCAGATATTAGGTCTCCCAGCACAGCCCGCTGCTTACGTGAAGGCTCCTGACCTTCTGGCCTCCAGCCGGAGCGATTCCCTCCTGGGAAGTGCCCAGGGAAGGGTGCAGACCGACCCTCGGCCCCATCTCCTTGGCCCCCCTCGAGGATGGGGGAGCCCGAAGATGCCTTGTGCTGCCCTTGCGGAAGGCCCAGTAGGGCAGATCCAGCTGAGCTTTTGTAGGATCAAGTGGGTTTGGCGATTTCCCAGCTTTTTGGTAAAGGAAGCAGCCGTGGCGTGACTGGGGCTTACTGGGCTCCTCCTGATAGCCGGTGGTGGGAAGCTCTGGGCTGCCACCAGCCCTGGGAAGCCTGGGCTGTGGCCAGGGCACGGCTGCCGTGCTCGAGTGTTTCCTTCAGAATTGCGAGGGGTTTTTGGACTCACCGTTCGACTGTTTTCCCTGTAAATAGAGTTTTGTACAATGTTGACTCTCTTGGGGGTGGGGCAGAGCGAGGCCTGAGTCCGGGGCTTGATTTGTTTCATAAGAACTTTTGGCAAGAGCGGCATCTCCAAGCTGTGACCGCGAGCAGCACATGAAGAATAAAAGCTTGTGTTTTTTTTTTAACTAGCCGGGCTCTGGGGCTCCTCTCCTTGGCGGAGCTGGGTGCGTGAGGGGTGGAGGAGGAGCGCGGGGCCATGCACACCCTGCTGCTGCCCTGGCCTTTGCCCTGGGGCTCGGTGCTGCCCGAGTGCGTTGGCAGGGCTTGGAGCAGGGCTGGACACCTGGGCTCTGCCCGGGCTCCCGGGCTCGGCG